TGCGGGGCAGGGGGAGCGGAAAAAAGCAAACACTGAGTGATCACTGATTCTTGTTTGCTTCTGAAAATAAGCACTGCATAAGCAAGCCATAAAGGACCCCTTTTACAAGGATAGAACTGCACTTACTTTAACTGCACTAAGAGAAGATTAAGCAATAAAAAGTGATAGTTAGATTTTTGGAAATAAGAATCATAAGTAAATAAACTTTCTGAAATACAGTATTGAAAAACAGAAATTCCAGAACAACAGGAAATCTATCAGGACTAACCAATTAAATAACAGCACTTTAAACTGAATACCTGAAAGTCATCCAAAGGTTAAGTGTACATGACTGAGCCAGGAGATGTGCTCAAATGCTGAGCCACATGACACTGGCTTCCAGACATAAATCATATCAGTTTTTAGGTCTGCTTGCAGAAAGCATGTCAACTCATTCTATGCTTTGCACAAAGATTTTCTATTACTAAAAATGTAAACATATGCTAATCTTAGTGAAAGGAAATTTTCTTCCCAACTTTATATGAAGTTTGCATTTGTCCTTACTTTAAAACTTAAGAATCTTACAGGAAACAAAAGTACTTCTGTCTGTAATGCAGACTGAATTAAAGCACTATTTGTGAGTGTGTGTGTTGGGGGGAGTTTGAGAGACAAATATATAACAGGGTTTGAGTATATGACAGCTTAGTCAAAGTGTAACAAATCCAGGAAACCTGAACTTTCCTGAAATTCACTTGTTTTGACAATTTTTTTACTTTTGTAGTTGACTGCAAAATGAATGAAATCTTTTGGCAAAAGAGCTAATGATTCTTGGAGGAAGTGCTAGAAAAACAAATTAAAATGGCAAGCAACTCAAACACTCAAAGAATAAACTACATATTTCCTTCAAGGTAAAAATTCTCAAGATTAAAAACAAAAAAAGCAGAGTGAATTCTATCAACTCTACCTTTCAGTTTTTCAGGGGTTCAGCATATGGTCTGAGACTGTATCCCAATCCTCCAACTCCCAATGTGTCTTCAGCAGACAAATTCTTAGAGAAGTTGGAATTCATGAAAACCCTGCTCTGTGACTAGTGAGCATTATCATCACTGGTACAAGCGATATATCCTCTCCACCAGGCCAGATATCCTTAGAAGTCAAAGTATTTTCAAATGTTTTCATAAACAATAAGTGAGCATTCAAAAACTGGATATCTTTCCGAATATCCTGTGATTCAACAACAAAAACAACTCTATGAAATCAAAACTTTTGCTGACAAGCTTGCTAAATTAATAAAGTAGAAGGCTCCTGACTAGGCAATAAGAATAGCAACAAGGTAGCAGTTGTTAGTAAACTGGAGCAGTGTCAAATTTTCAAGTTATTTCTGACCACTATTTCACTGAGAAGTTCCTACTCCATAATCGAGAAGCAGCCACATCTAATGCAGCATCGTAGTCCCAGACAGATTCTGCCAATTTTGCCAATGACTAATAAAGATGCGCTGCAACCAGAAACACGGACAAGGACCCATCCTTTCTTACTGATGTGCTTGGCACAGCCTGTGCCAAGAAATGATTCCACTTCATCAATAAATCTGCGGGCAAATTTATGAGAAAATGCTGTTACTGCACCTACTCGGGAGCTCTTTAGCTTTGCAAAGCTTTTGGAGTAAATAAAAAAGGAAATGCTGTATCAGTCATTAAATGTGTCAGAACTCCAGTTTATGTAATCCGATTGCATTAAACACCCTGCATAAAGATTTTTCAGCATATTCTAGCCATTTCATGTTATTTCTACATGAAGAAAGAAATGGGCTTCCTTTGCAGGACACGAAGCATCAAGCCAGCACTTGTTTGATTAGTTTCCTTTGTCCCTACCTGAAAACTGCACTCCCGAAGCCATCAAAGCTATCCCGGCGCAGGACGCCTTTGTCCCCTTTTCCTATCTACCTCCCCCCTAATTCCACGCCAAACCACCTAAAACTACACATGAAACCAGTCAGCATCCTTCCTGGGTACCCAACGCAGGCAGTTAAGTGAATACCTACCAATTCGTCTGGGCCCGGGACACACACACATTCTCCTGTCATCACAACACGGAGCCGACAACATCCACAACCCGCGCGGACAGCAGCAGCGACAGCAGCACCGGCCCATTGAAAGCAAGGCAGAGACGCTCATTAGAGGCGGCGGCGGGGGAGGCGGGAGCGGAGGCGGGGCGGGGGCTCGCTCCAGCCCGGTGAATGGGGCTGGGAGGGGGAGGAGGATGGAGGCGGCAAAAACGGGTGGGGAGAAGGAAGAAACCAACCAAACAAACCCACTCTGCGGGAGAGGCAGAGCCACAACCACCGCACGATGCGGCGGGGGGCCCGGCGGGAGGAGAGGCGTGGCCCGGGGCCGGCCCCTTCATCCAGCCCAGGCGCCGAGCCCACGGCGCGCGGCATCCCCGCCCGCTGTCCGCCCCCACACGGCGCGTGCTTCAGTCCAGACAGCGGGGCCGGCCAGCAACGGGCTGCCCGCGGGGTTACACCAGACCCGGCTGTGTGTGTGAAGGGAAACCCCCGGCAGAGACCACCCCCCCCCACCCCGCACCTGGAGCGCCGCAGCCTCCCTGGAGCTCCCCCTCCCGCAGGTCCCCACGGCGGCCCCGGGGATGACAGCGGGCCGTGCGGAGGGCGGCGCGACTGCCTCCTACGCCCGCCCTACAGCCCCCACGCGCACCTGGCCCTCCG